AAAGCAAAAAGTATGATCTTATTTTAATTGAATTCAATTTGAAATTACGATTGAATGTCCACTTTATGATAAACGTAATCTGAGCAGATACGTTTCAATACGTTACTAGAAATATACCATGTCCAAGCTACAAGCAATGCTTGAGTTTTGGCTGGTTCCCGCCTCAAGTGTTCATGGCGTACCAAGCCACAAGAGGCCGGTAACGAGTAACGGTTCCGGCATTCTGATTGGTACACCACTTTCTCGTTGCTTGTTCCATTTCCCTTAGTTACCTGACGTCAGCGCTTACGCTCGTGGCCGTTCAGGGGTTTCCTTTTACTTTCGAAAGTTGGGCGAATAAAAAAAACTGTTTTTTTTGTTATAAATTTGCATAGAACATATCAAATCTGTAAATCTAAGCAGGCAGTATGTATGAGCATGGCTTTATTGTAGCATTACAGACACTTTTACGCAGAACGGAACTTGGAATGTTTTCAAATTACGTCACTCAGTCACGTGCTTTCCGGCCGGAAAACCGGCCCAAATGGAACAATATGGCGATTACTAGTTACCTGCGTCCTACCTGCCATTCGCAAAGGACGCCGGGAACCAGCGAATGCTTGAGTTCTTCGGGATTTAGTTTGTATACTCTCAATGACAAACGATTTCATCCCATTGTCGCTAGAGGGCGTTAACATTGGTGTTCAAGGGTCTGAAATATAATAATGTAAAGATGTTTCAAAACAAAGTCGACCAGTGTTGATTTGGGCATATCGCCCCCCACGCGCGCTCGAAGGTCCGTTTTTTTTAATGCACAATGTTTTTTAAAAGGCGGGGCTGGATTCCTAGACAAATTGCTCACTTTGTCATAGAATAAAGATAAACCCTATCCGTATTATACTGGTAAAGATCTTTCCTAGCCCACATTATACTGGTAAATGAAGGCTCGGGTAGTGGCGCGGCACGCGTTAAAAAAAAAAAACTTTCACGACATGAGCCGCGCTGTGAGCCGCGCCCCCGGACACGCGACGCTCTGCCAGTCAAAAAAGTGACGCCTGGCTGCTGCTATGGTAAATGGCGCTCGGAAGTCTCACTTGAGCGGCCTGTGGATGACGCCGACACAGTCCCATAATGTCAAAGTGTTATACAAAGGTCTTTAATCTGATTTTGAATAGTGGACATTTCCCAGAGACTTGGTAAAATTTGTCCAATTTTAAAGAATTTCATTTTGGTAAGATTTTTACAATTACCGGTAACGAAAGAATAGTCAAATGACTTGTTACAAATAATATTGATAATCAGGCAGGATTCCGGGCAAATCACAGCACTGAAGATAATATTTTTATTCTGTCGACGCTAATTGAGAAATATGGAAAGAGATAATACGTTTGTTTTGTAGACTATAAACAGCGTTTGACTATGTTTAGGTGTTGTCTTTGCCGAAAATGGTTCATTTAAGTTGGCATGTGCAATTTTGGTCAGGAAAACTTCAAAGGCAGCGTATGTGGTCAGGAAAGGAATTGGTAACGAGATTTCTTTAAAATTACTTCAAATAATATTTGACTTGAAAATTAAATCAATTTTAAACTATGGGGCGGCAGTTGTAGGAAATCGGTATTTTAAACCAATTGAAAATGTTCAGTTAAATAAAAGTGGTGTAAATATATATTAGGTGTGGGGCTAAATACAACCAACAATGTAGTTATGGGCGAACTCGTACGATATCCACTTAGTATTGGCAGAAATATAATCGTATTAAATTTTGGAAACGTATTCTGAAAATTTTATCTAATCGACTCGTTTACAAAGCCTATAGAGAGTCTGAAAAAAATTGCACTGATAGGAAATAATAAATACAAGTTTATATAGCGCCCAGTATCCATCGCAGTGATGCTCAATGACACTTAGTTTCACAGATAGGCTTGCTGAAAAAGGTAAGATTTGAGTTTGGTTTTGAAGATGTTAACATTTGGTGCAGAACAGATGTTATTCGGTAATTGATTCCATAAAGATGGCGAGGAATGGGCGAATGACCGGTCACCATAATTCTTGAGATGAGTTCTAGGTACGGCAAGTGTATGTTTCTTACTTGAGCGAAGGTTCTCTGATTTTGATTTTTGTGAATAAGGTCCGATATGTAGGATGGTGTCAATCCATGTAGTCACTTGTACGTGAGTAGTAAAATTTTAAAGTGTATCCTACAGTGAACTGGCAGCCAATGTAAATTACGAACAGCAGGAGTGCTATTATAAATTTTTTGGTACGTGTAATTAGACGGGCGGCACAGTTTTGAGCCCTCTGAAGCAGGTGTATCTGTGATTTTGGTAAGCCATAGAGTAAGGCATTGCGGTAATCCAGTTTAGCGGTTATAATAGAGTGAATGAGTTTAAGACATGTATGCTCAGATAGATGTTGGCGAATGAGTCCTACGCGTCTGATATCTGGCATGTACTGATGATGTGTTTACTGAACTGAAGTGAATCATCGAAGATGACACCAATGTTGCGAGCTGCTTTAACCGGTTTAACGAGTGTTGATACCATGCAAGGGGTTAGAGATAGGTCAAATTTTGAACGGATTAGCAATATCTCTGTTTTACCATCATTTAGCTGTAGTTTGTTGTTAAGCATCCAAGCCTTGATGTTAGATAGACAATTTTCAATTTGGGATGTAGCAGCTGTGGCATCTTTTGCTTTAGCTATTAAGAAATTATTAATTAAACAAAATATGCATACTATTTGGGAGAATCGGTTTATTTCCCAAATTACTGATGAAACAACGTTGTTAATTGGAAAGAAAAAGAGAGATTGTTATTTCAAAATTTGGAAAGATGCTTTATTTGACGATGTTCGTAAACCACCAAACAGTAGAAATAAGTTACGAACGTTTCGCCAATTTAAAACAAATATTTTTTATGATAATTATCGTTCGTATTCCCCTGTACAGACAAGCTTTAACTAAACTTTGGTGCTCTAATCATAAGTTACATATTGAGACCGGTATACTAGTATAAAACCACAATTTGAGCTCCATTTGTCTATCAGTAAAACTTATATATATTTTTTTTCTCAGGATAACCATGAAATCATCCAAATTCTTGCAAGATTTGTATACACAGCTTTTCAGATTAGATATAATTTGTTAGTGTGAGTTATAATATTTTATTTTATTGAGGCGATTAAAGACACTCTTGTAAGCATCCAGTTTCCGTGTTGGTCACGGTGGTCGGATACAAATAATGTGTCATGAAAGGCAGTAAAACGTTCGGAGAACTTGCGGAAGTGATCATGGCACGCATAAAATGAAGCAGTTATGTGAGTGTCTCTGATTTTTCCTTTGAAATCCTCTCAAACACGCAGGAAATTTCTATTTCAGAAAGTTTAATTTTCAAAGTTTTCCGGGGACCATGCCTTGGACCCCCCTAGGAAGCTCGCGACTTCGGCGCCCGTTGGTCCCTCAGAGAGTAAAAAGAACCCCGGGCCCCGTCTCCCAAGCAAAATCCTGGCTACGGGCACGTTCAAGGTCGCATACGCCTAATCTCCTAATTCCCGGCTCACAACCATGAAGTTTCACCGACTATGATGGCATTTTAGAATTCTTAAAAGGATTTTGATGTCTGGTTTCACCATCCCTGGAAAACACGTAAAATCTCAAAGGTTCTTTACTAAATCCTTTTAGTTATTCAACAGAGTGAGCATGGCTGTATAGATAACTGGCACTGAGGGCGTTGTATTCACTGATGTCCCATTCTACCATGAACGTAATTAAAACTGATGAATGAATGACAACTTTCTGGTCGTTGATTAAGTATGAAGTTAGACTAAAGTTAGACTAAAATAAAGTATTGTATGAGCGTATAAATGGCGATAACGAACAAGAGACTTGTGTCCTATGTGAGACGCCCTCTCGCGACACCAGTGATGATTGACATCGATCTGGGGTTCAGGGCGTGTTGCAATGATTGACAGGCTAAATAATATCCACCATATCAATGTCACAATTGAAGTTAAATTTTCTTCAAAAAAACATTCGTCTCGATAGAACTCGCACCGAAACTAAAATTTCTCTTATATGGTTATCCGATTTTTCTATATTCGACCGACATGACAGCTCTGATACGTGACGATCGCCGCTTGCCCACAACTCACGGCCATCTTGAAAATTGTTTCCCGGTAACCCGGCTTTTGCCATTTATACAATCAAATAATGAACAAAAGACTGTATGCAAGTCTAGCATGACGTCATTTCCATTATATATAATTTCTTAAGAAACTCAAGCCAACTTATCATAGCATTCAAACATTCAATGACAATTCCATGCTGTTTTCCTCTCATTTCAACGATTTAAGCGTGAGAAACTAGTCGGACTACCTTACTCGGACTGCCACCAAGCACAACTGTGGTTGAATACTAATTGTAAATGTAGGCTCGAGTCTAAAGTCATCCATCACGTTAAATCTGGCTCATGGTAACTTGCTTCCTGCTGATTGGAATCTTTAGCAAAACTGTCTTAATGATTTTCAATTTATTGACAAGCTTACGACGAGAATATCGTCAAGGTGATTCGTGTTATTTTGACTTGAACGTGATGTTCAATTCAGTGTTGATCTACGTTACAGTGACAACTCCATATACATTTAATTAAAAATATAACAAAACACCATATAACAAGTTCTTATACTTTTTTTCCAGTTGGCACGTACGTTGGAGTCATATATAAGCGTTGGCCGGGGGATATTGTTATCACATACCTTGCGGTCAGAAATGTGTATATTATAGTTATATTATAATATAATATACTCAAGCAATACGAGGTGAAACGACAATGCCGCTAATGTACACACATAGACATATGGTCGGGTTGACATTTTCATAGAAATTAAACTATTTACTGGTAGTTGTTGAACTGTGAAAATATCAGTTTTGTGCGCGTCAATAACACGTCTATTGAGTGTTTTATTTTGGACACACCTGCCCTGCATTCCCATTCACGGTACAGTTATTTGGCAGCGAACACCAATATGAGGTACCGACGATACCGAGCCATCCTGGCGACAAACAGCCCGTTGCCGAAGATTATCCTCGGAATACTGTGCGGGTTTTTCGGTTCCATGTGGCTACGAAACGAACGTTTCCCAACAATTCGTGATTTCAAATCATGCCAGGAAAAGCCTTCCCGGCGGTTGGGTGAAAATTTCCTGTACGTTGGAGTGATGACGGCAAAGAAATACATCTCTACGCGCGTCGTAGCAGTGAATAACACATGGGCCCGCACTATACCCGGTAGAGTAACTTTTTTCTCGAGCTTTGATTCCAATTCCTCTGACCGCACTTTACCCCTCGTGAGTTTGCCTGGAGTTGATGACACTTACCCACCGCAGAAAAAAGCATTTTTGATGTTGAAGTATATGCACGATAAATATATAAATGACTTTGAATGGTTTATGCGTACTGACGACGATGTCTATATAAAAGGAGACAGAATAGAGCAGTTTTTACGCCCAATTAATAGCTCCAGAGCGCTCTACATTGGACAGGCCGGACAGGGTAGCAAGGACGAGTTCGGCAGATTATACTTGGACCCTGGTGATAACTACTGTATGGGTGGAACGGGAATGATTTTTAGTCGCGAAACACTAAAACGAATGGTGCCAAATATAAGCGCATGTCTGAAGAATCTATATACGACACATGAAGACGTGGAGGTCGGGAGGTGTGTTAGAAAGTATGCCAACATAAACTGCACGTGGTCGTACGAGGTGAGTTAAGCTCCACTGTTCTTGTAAAACTTACGAATTCTTCAATAATGTACCGTAGAAGCAATAATTTTTAGGGGGATTTATTTGCACCGTGGCAGTATAATCCCGACACTGAAACAACTAGTTCTGTCGAAATTTAATTCGTCAGATTTAACTTATCAGCGAAAATACTGAAATAATTAATGCATTTACAGTAAAGAAATCAATTATTCATTATTATCGGGTTTGTTAAGGCAGTAAATTTGCGTAAAAAGTTGGGGGTTCTGTCCACATTCAATTTCTTTGACGCACTGAACAATGTTCTGCGGTTGCGTCAATGATATTTTCAATATATATATAGTGTGTGTTTAAAAACCAATATCTATGTACAATTTACAGTACCGTAAGTGTTACATTACACTTTAGATTATCCCATGGTGCAATGCGCTGGCAGTTACCACGACGTCACATCTTGATTCGGTCAGCGAATGTGACGTCAAACATGGAAAGTCAGTTGATATAATATATCTGGCGTTGTCGGGGTAAACGATATTTGTATTATACTGTAAAGATTGTTTTACATTAGGAAATATATGTCTATAGCGAGACGTATATACGTGAGCGCCCACAAACAAACAAACGAACGCACACGTCACACATTTACAGGCACACATTGGCTGCATGTATTTTATTAACGATGGAATATGGACGGGGACATGTCACTTTTTAATACTTTGGTAAATACCCTGGACTACGATTTATCATGAACTGAAAACGTTATAGCATTCGATGATGAAACGATGCAAATTTCTAAAGCGCATGCGCATGATTGAATTTAGTACGTACATATGTCGTTGCTATTTTCACTAGTATTTTCTATTCCACGATTACTGCAAAAAAATGATAGTTTATAATAAACATAGTGCAATTTGGTCATCAACATTCAGTATCAAAATATATATATATTAAAAATATATGTTTTTGTCTATGTTGCATCATAAAATAACAGGTCACGTGGTGCACTTTACAGCAGCTCAACTATTCCATACCGACATCTGTGTTTTCATAGTGTTGACACACAGTCCTCATACATGCATCGCCATATGTTTCAAGTATTCGTGTTGGCCTGCATGATGAAGTCGACAAACAAAGTGACACAGTGTACCCTAATAGCAGTACTTGAATGTACATATGGCCTTTGAATACAATTGAGAGCTTTACGTCATTCTATGAGTCTGTCAGATTTTCATGTGTCACTTTTTTTTCTTTTTTTTTTTTTCATTTTTGTTTTGTTCATGAGATTGTTTTCTGTCGGGAACGCACGGTAAAATCAGCACAATTTGTACCTAGGAGTCCATACCCTTATATGTACAATCACTATGTTAACATACTGTCCAACATAATGAATGGAGATACCATATGTTTCAAGTGTCTATGTTGACGTGCTGCACTAATATACGACATATTTTCAATATAAAACCTCCATAATATGCATGTAGATATGTTTGATCAACAAGCAATGGACACCCTAGTTATAAGTCTTCCCGACAATTACTATTTTCGTTGGCTCCAAACAGCTTTGATAATATGTTTAATCGCCACCATTAAACGATATTCTGGGAGTATGGCGTGTTTTCGTTTCTGAAACCATTCCAAATAACAAAGAAGTGTGCAAATTTCGTAGAGGAATCAAATGAGCAGTCCAAATTTAACAGAGCCCTCAGTAATTGCTGGTTTCTGGTCACGTTTTAGTCACATGCATGCAGCTTTCCATTATTACAAAACGGAACACTTTCTGATTTGGAAAAAACCAGTACGAGTAAATTTATTTTTCTTAGACACATTGATATCAAGTTATGACTGTATAAAATAGGGTACACAATAATAGTAAAAATGCGATAATACCAATGAAATACCGTTTTCGTTGCAAAGAATGACTTCTTCTTTGAAATTTACTTTAAACTGTTAATTGTTTACAGATGAGTCAACTACTTTACCAGAATTATTCTTCCAACGACGCATTCAAGGGAAATATCCGCATGCCTGAGGTACACAGAGCAATCGCCCTCCATCCGATCAAGACAACACATAACTTGTACAGAATGCATAGGTACCTGGAAGAAAAGAAAATTTCTGAACTTAACCAGAAAACAGCCAGGTTAAAAAGAAATATTCGCAACATGGACTTGCTATTAAAGGAAAAGTCACCGAGGGTAAATTGTTCATACACCCATTGTTTTTTCCCAGATAGCCATGAGCAATCAATTCCATGGGAGTTTTTTTCTTCTAAGGTGTACTCACCGTGGAAAAGAATGTTTTCTAAATACAGGATTCGCGAAGCGTACAAATCGTCTATGTCCAACATGTTATCGGCGTACGTCGAATTACTGAACAACGGTTTCTTTTTGAATGAAAATAGTTTTCAGAGATTATTGTATGGTTACCGAACAGTCGTTCCTGGTTTCGGAGTCTCGTTTATTCTAGACGGACTGTTCAATCATAAATCGAGAATCCACGCACAGTGGCAAAATAAAGAAGAAAGGCGACATTTTCATCTACACCAAGCGTTTGGTAATGTCGAATTTACCGAAGTCTCGCTAAATGGTATGGACGGTGGCGTAAAAGATAGCGATTCATCGAATCAGCTACATACGGCTAAAACAGTGAATTTCATTGTACCACTGTCTGGAAGAATTGAAACATTTAAGACGTTCATGGACAACTTTGAGCACGGCTGTCTCAAGTATGACCACAACATAGCATTGGCAGTGGTAGTGTTTAACGATGACAAAACTAATAGCTCAAAAGAACCTATTTTGGTGCTTGAGCGATACCAACAAAAATATCCAAATGTTGATATTCGTGTAGTCCTTTCTAAAGGGACATTCTCGCGAGGCCGTGCTTTAGAGCTTGGGGTGGCCCAATACCCGGATGACGCTCTTCTTTTCTTTCTTGACGTTGATTTACAGATTTCATCAGGACTAGTCAGGCGTTGTCGAAGAAATGCAGTGCGATCACGTCAGGTATATTACCCGGGAATGTTTAGTCTGTTTGACCCAAATGTTGTTTACTTCAACAAAAGTAGCACGCAAAAATCAAAAACTATCCAAATTGCAAAAGAAACGGGATTTTTTAGAGACTTTTCCTACGGTATGGTATGTACATATAAAAGTGACTACAGAAATGTGGGCGGGTTTGATCTGGATATCAAAGGATGGGGCAATGAAGACTTGGATCTGTATGAGAAGTTTGTACGTAGCAACTTGACAGTGTTCCGAGTACTTGATATTGAACTAATTCACACATATCATCCTAAGTATTGTGATTCTAATCTATCCACTACGCAATACAACATGTGCCTCGGGTCAAAAAATATGATAGTTGCCAATACCGAACAACTGTACAGACTTGTTAAAAAAACAAGACACAAATTGCAAAAAAAACAGTGATTGATTTAATTGTTCAATTGCTCAGCTTGATTGATTGAAATGCATGGAGAAAACATATTTGATAGAATTGACTTTCAGCTGAAAAATAAACATTATATCTCGATCAACTCTGTTATTGTTGTTTTGATTTTTTTTTCCTTCATTACTACTTAATTGGAAATTCCGTGCTTCATATTTTCACAAGTTATTAATCGGATTAGAAAAGAAACGAGAATCGTGTTTATCTCTAATTGCGCTTCTCATACGGTGGCTCCGCCATATATAATTTCTTATGCACATTGTCTGCGTGTACGATCCTTGGTGTACGTGTTGTTTAACTGCTTCACATATGTTTGTTTATGCGGTAAACAAATACTGATCCACCACCTTTTAAAGGAATGTTTTGGCATTTCATTCAAAATTTGGTATTTTTTGATTGATTTATTGTGTAATGCTTTGTTCCAATTCCAATTCGATGGTCATTGTGTCACTCTTTTTCATCGACTTATTGTACTGCGGAAACAAGTCAATAGACATTCGATGTGTATTACGGAAATTATTGAGATAAAAATTGATTTGAATATGAAACAACACGATTATTGGATAAATCAGTTAACTGAAAGTTAAAAGACGGCCCGATATGTTAATGCTAACGAAGAAATTAGTCAACGGGTACTGATTGAAAAAAAAAGATTACTTTACTAGAAAATGCTGAACGAAAAAGATGCTGTTGTTGTTTAGTCTCTTCAGTCATTTGGTAGGTGTAGTTAGTTATGGTTTCAATGCGGCAATTTTGATCTATATATACCAACAAGATGAAGTCGGGGTTATTTTCGTGCTCAATGGCATGAATATCACAATGTGGCTATGTGGCGTGTATGCACATTCTCGAGTAGAATTCGCTGTCTGCAATTGAGTAAAGATTTTCAAAGCCCACGTTCTTTTTATTTTACATTTGATGTTTGTTTGTTTGTTTGTTT